CTAACCTACTAGTTTTAAACATTAATTAATCACATTAAGTCTCAAGACTTTGGTTCTGATTGATTTAAAGGCTCTGGAACACTGAATTGGATTTTGCCATCCTGTGTTATTATTTTATTGTATGTGGACTGTGTAGACAACCGCAAAAAGGGGGAGATGTTATATCCTGTGCGACTTACACGAAGTTGTTGTTAGATGATATATTTAGTGTGACTCACATGAAGTGTGTTAGAATAAAACCATGTGCTTTTAGAGTGTACACATCGAGCTCGAGTGAATTTGGAGTGTTACAAAAACTGTGATAACAAGTAACTCACTGTTGATTAAAAGTAGAATGGCACATACCTTTTAAAACACCCTCGACAGAATACAAATCCTTCTTGTATGTGACCTAAAGATAAGTATGTAAAACCAGTTGCATTGCTATAACTGAGTTTTACCGACAGCAATTTTGAACATAACTGTTATGTAATAATGTTCTTACGTGTAAAACATTCAAAGCGCTTGGCAAGTTACACATACCATACATGTTACGCAAGCGTGCGTCAAATTCAAAGAAAACGTTTCTTGTTAAAACTGTGTGCTTGCCATCATCACATCACATGCACCTAAACTGAATTGACATTTCCTGTAAGCAGCTGAGAGCACATGGATTTTATTTACTTAGATACTATGTGATACACCAACCTTCCACAGAGAATCTGGACCATCAATTAATGCAGCGCTTGTTTTAGCATACTTTTGAGCCAAGTGCAGACATTCTGTGCCATGCTCAAAGTCATATTCTGTACACTGCAAATTTAGCCAAATTAAGACATAATTACATAAAATCACGAGTACTTGTGCATAATAATTATTGCAATAAATGCATGGACATTTCTGTAGTGTTAAAAGTGAAATACATAGTTCAAAAAACCTGATACTGTCGAAACTCTCTAATACGGACACCGAAGAGACTGAGCGAAGTGTCCGTATTTGCATTTGTAAATGTAAGTTTTAAAAACTTACATTTTGACATGTTCTGGTATTGGTATCAATTCGGCTCAATGTTTGTGTAACCGCAGACAGGAAATGGTACATACCGCCAATTATCAATACCTGGTCCCCGAAGTGTATGAATTTGCTCCCTAGGGCTGAGATTTAGGGTCCGTTGTCCGTTTTAGAGAGGGTCCGTATTATAGAGGTTTTTTAAGAGGAAATGTATGAAAATGTTGTCGGTACACAGGAAACTGTCCGTATTAGGGAGGTGTCCGTATTTGGGAGGTGTCTGTATGGAAGGGTTCGACTGTATTGAAAATTATAAAATAATGATGAAAGTTTTGTTTCGTACATTGTGATGCATAAAAAAATGTTTACATGCTGTCAGGGATGGATATCAAACACAAAGATACTGAGCCCAAGGTCTATATATGCAAAATTCACAGGAGAGTGCAGTTTACAACACCTTACCACCCACCCAGGCACCCCTTCCCGCAAAAAAAAAAAAGAAAAACGGTTGCTGTGTCACTCCTTTACTTCCAGCCTTGTTTGGTTATCATGTTACTAAGATCTATCACCCTTTAAAAAACAGTCCTGAGAAAATACACGCACTGATTGGTTAAAAATCGTGTTTCTATTAAACAATTAGATTATGAACTCGAGATTTCTATCACGCATAGGAATCAAGAGCGAATAATCTAATTATTGTTTTAGCATAAATCTACTAGCCGTTCAAAACTTTATCTAAATCCTCTTCACAGACGCTTTGAAAACGTCAAGAAGCAGCCGTCATTTCGTTAACAAGCGCACACTGCTATGCTACTCACTATTTAGTGTGTGCAAGGACAGAATAGCTCGTGTGACTGAGTGATGACTGGTTTGTAACACACCTCTTTGTAGGCTTTTTCAATGATGTCATACTGAAAAGCTTGTGGCATTTCACTTGATCTGAACTTTGTTCTGTATACCAAGGATACACTAAAGGTCAGCAGGTACACTCAAATAACCATTCACATTAACTTTAACCAGCACCATATGAAATTATAACAACAATAACAACAACTTTATTACGACTCACATATCTACAATTTTACAGAAATACATACACACACTTGGTAATCCACAAGATCTAAATCAATAGCATGCGGTGACATGCATCCATGTATCTCTACTATGCCTGTCTTCCATAATATTATATGTGAAAAGCTTTCACCATTGAGAAGAAAATCCTCGTCAATTTCAAAAGTATAGAGAATGAAGGCAACAATCTTCACTACATTTTAAAGACAGAATAGAGTAAAATAACAAAGACAGAATAGAGTTACGTCGAATCATGTAAGACCAATTTATTGGATGTTCAAAAACCAAGAAAGCCATTCCATCATGAGTCTTTCCCGAAACTTTTGTTTGTTATAAAAGTGAGGTCATTCACCTTTACTTCTAATCAATTTGTGTCCTTTTAAAAAAGCAATACAAAAATGCATCAATAAATGCAAATTATTTTATTTATGTGGACATTACATTACCTGTCGAGTGAATGATCCAAAAATCCGTCAAATGACTGTGCTACAACTGTCGACGACAGTGGCCTGATGACACCAGCTGCCTGGAACACAAATCAGGATAAGGGGGTCACAAACGACTTGCCTATGGTAGATTGTTACAAACTCAGTGTGTTACTTACTCCATGTTTCTTAGCAGCTTCAGTCACACTCCGTAAAGTTGGTTCATCTACAAATGGCCGAACTGCATCATGAAGAATTACCTACAATAAAAGGAAATAGCAAAAATAGTTTAATAAACTCAAGGACCGCCATAAGGATCTGATTTTAACTCCAGGCGTTGTAACAACGTCGGAATGTCCTAAAAGATAAAAAGATTTACGAGGACTTCGCTCGAAATACTGATTTCAAACACCAAAGACTAAGTATGATTCCAACGTGATTTATTTGTATTAGCTGTGATTTGATGTCCAAAACCGTCAAACTAAAATACAATCGAAAACCTAGTCTAAGCGACACGAAAGACTAAAACCAAAATAACCATTACATAACACGAGCACATATTAAAATACGCGAGCGCGAGGAAATCTAAAATACAACAGTTGACCAAGAAATGCAACGAAAAGGGCAAGGAAGGAAATACACGCTTAACGATTGTCCTCTCTGCCTGAATACACAAGTCGCAAGATAAACGCAGTAACCTTCACAATAAGCTCTCTTGTGTAAAACAACTATCGCAAAACGATAACGCACGAGGTCTGACATATGATATCGAAGCGTTACCAATACGCAACAAAGACTAATACTTAACAGAGAATAATACTTAACTGAAAATAATACATAACTCGACAACAATTACACTGAGTAGCAGACCAAAGCCAGTTGGCTACTTTGAACTGAAACCCGTACCACATATATGGGTTATTGATCAAGTGTGAGGTAAAGATGGCTGGATATTGGCCAAGTTCTTTTTTTGCGCGTTTATGGACTGAGACGCAGTCAAGGTCCATAAACTCGCGAAAAAAGAACGAGGCAAATATCCAGCCATCGTGACCGAACAAGCTTGGTCAATAAAGGATTTATTATATGCCTATCGGGGGATTTTTTCTTGCAGGACACAGCGGGTAGTCCCGAGCGGGCAAGATAGCTCCATCTTGCCCGCTTGGGTAGCCAATCACAGTGCAGGATTTGATCCATCTTGCCCGCTAGCCATATAATAATTTCATTTATTAACATCTAAAACAGTTTTTAAGCCCAGTTAACAGATTGGAAACAATTTCAGGGAGATATGTTTTTACGCTTATGTTTTGTGTAGTTTGAGATTANGATATAAATTTAAAAATACAAGTAATAATTAAAAGTATAGAGTCAGCTTTGTGGCGTGAAAACAAGCACGGTGACCCCCTCTTTTTACTAAGTTTTTAATATCTCCTTGTCCTGTAACAACAGCATACCAAGTTTCATCGGAAACCTATGGCGGGTTCTTTAACTAGGGAATTACCTTCATATTTTTTTAAAAAATATCTTGACCAGTCAGAAACAAGATGTGACTGAGCTGAAATTACTTTGGCTAGTCAGCATGACTGGCCACGGTCCGAAAATTATTTTGAGCCCTGACACCTGATCCTCCAGGTTGGGGGTTGGGAGTGGCGCTAATGACTCCACCCTGTAAGAAACATTCTGTTACGGAAACAACCATGAATGCTACAACAACTTTGGACCATGTTCATGTAGTGGACTTGGGCCAGCCAACTAGCCATGTGACTATCTCTGATGAAAGCCTGCTTTGGCCCAAAACCCACATCCGCCTAGGAGCCTGGAATGTCTGTGCCATGTTTGAGACATCAAAAATGGCACAAGTCATCAGCGAAATGTACTGTAATGGCTAAGCTAAAAGAGATGGGCATGACATGGGGCGGGGCACAACATGCTGTAAAGGACCCATCCCACTGGAAACATTGTTAAAGCCTTATGTCCCACCTGCGATGAAGAGGAGTACATAAGTGAGTAAATACACTATGTTTTCCCCTGAGGAGAAGTTGAAGGAGGCACACATTAGGAAAGTACCTAACCCATGTCTCTTGGCAACTTGTAACAGAATAGGCTGCTATTTTACCTGCTATATTATAGTACAACTTATATGACATACCTGTTGTGCTTCCTCCAAGTAGTTTTCATTGATAGGAACAATAATTTCTTTAATCCATGAAATACTGTATAAACACCAAAGTTTAAATCATAAAAGCTAAAAAGGAAAAGAAAAGCACCTCTCTTGACCAAAGTTATCTTGTTTGACATTTTAGTGAGTGGTACCACAGTATATACAGAGCTCCATCATGTGAAGCATGCCAGCGGAGTACCATGGGTCAAGATCCTTGGTAAACCATCAAGCTGAGAAAATTTTGTAATATGACGTCACCTTACGAGCAAGCAAGAGTCCATCCATGCAGACTCTGGGGGAGGGGAAGGGGAGTCACATGATTCGTCAGGCGATCATAAAGAAAAATCAACATGTTTCCTGTGTTTAGAGAAATTTACAAAATGGTAAACAGCGGGAAAAGTGGTTGATTTGTTGATCTATTGAAAAGACTAGTTCAGTTCAGTCTTCACAACTACTGTTGGAAGTTTCTGCCTGGTAGATTAACACTGAAGTGAATTGCTAAATTGCAGTAAGCGACTCTTTGTTGGAGAAATGTTTGTCACATTTTTTATAAAAGTTGTCAAGTTGCTTTGGCAAGATATCTTCAACAGGAGTTTTCATTGTTAATTTCATTGTTTTAATTTCACTAAACTCTAAACAATAACACTTGAGTTGACTTGTCAAAGTTGTTGTAAAATGATTATTGTAAACAAGTAGTTTTCTGTCAGTTCACACCAATATAAAGCTCGTGTCTAAAAATAATTAAACTGTATTTGTAAACACTGTCAGGTAAGTTTTGAAGTTTTCTTTGTGTTGGTAGGGACAGCTACTTCATAGACTGCTCAAATTTCTTCTTCTGTTACAGTTGGAAGCCAAGAAAGTTCAAGAAATCATACATAAAAGTTAACAGGATTTTATATATTTGACCCTTGCATATTGTGTTTCCAAAGTATGGAGATTTCAAATTAAATCAATCAAAACAACACGCTTTCATTGGGGCTCTTCAATATGTTGAAATATCTATGTCCCTCTAATGAGATGCAATCGTTGGATTGAAAACTCCACTTGTCTGATCTTGAATAAAATTATCCCTTTGTCAAACTGATTGAGTAGTCTGGAATCTAGTTGACAGTACTGGATAACCCTTACATACATCTTTCACTAAGCAGAATCTAATTACCTTTCAAATGCCTCTAATGTGTAACTGATCAATGGTCTTTCCATAATTTGGCAGAACTATAAAAAAGAGGAAAGCTTAAACAACATTTTCCACATGAAAATGATAAAAAGGTCAACACAGAGATTAAGTATAGTGAAGCTTAATGCACCATATACAATGAGCAAGAGCTATATGTTTATGTATTTCCAGTGGAACCCCATTAATATGACCACCTTCGGGCCGTGGAAAATTAGTCATATTAACAGGGAAGTTGTATTAGCAAAGTAGGGTCACATTATGATGCAACGCACTTTAAACATGTACTGCACATGAATACCTTTAATTCCACAATAAACCAACCTTTTTACAATTATTCTTCAACCTTACAACAGCCATTCATTGCAAATGAACAAAACCGATTAAATGTAATGCGAAAAAACATTGTCTTTCAGTTTGTCAAAAGGATATGGCCTGTTGTGAAATGTCTGGAATTAGCTCTTATTAACCGAGCTGGAGGTCTGTATGGGAGAATCTTGACT